GTAGCAGTCAATAATCCTAGTAGCGGTAGTATTATTATGATTATTAGTAGTTGCAGTGGGAGTAGTAGTCGCCGTCGTAGTAGTAGTAGTAGTAGTAGTAGTAGTAGTAGTAGTAGTAGTAGCAGTAGTACTAGTACTAGTACTAGTACTTGTAGCTGCAGCAGGTACGCTCTCTAATGCTGGTAGTACTAGCAGTGACAAGAACAGCATTAGCGGCCCATTTTTCTCTAAATACAGGCCCGTTTGCTCTCGCAGTTCGGGAGCCTAATTTCGCAGGCTAAGTTCGGACCTTTTATCCTTCTTCCACCCCTCAGTTGAGCTCCACATCAATCCACAAGCCCTACCCCTCGACCTTCTCCACAGACTCCTCCATGACGGATAAGGTTCCATACAGTAACTCCCCACCACAGCCGCCTACGGATCTCTGGAGGGTGCTCTTCATCATGTGCGCATCAGTGTTGTCTCCGCAAAACACGTCTACCATATCCTCGCTTGCAGACTGCAGCAACCGCGCTACTTCGACGTTGCCACTTCGAGATGCAATCATCAAGGAGGTCCGGCAGCTGTCGTCTTCCAGGTCCTTGTTAAGGGATTTAGAATGCCATAATAGGGATCTATAGCAAAAAAAGATTTCTTTATCATGGTAACTTAATATAAATCCGTTAACAAGAACCCAGTCTTGCTTCCAGGTCCTTGTCGGCGCCGGCCTCTAAGAGCAAACGTACGACTTCGACACGGCCGCTTTCGCATGCTGACATCAAAGCTGTACTTCCACGGTTGTTTGCGATGTCCGCGTCGGCTTTTGCTTCTAACAGCAACCTGGTGATTTTGACATGGCCGCGAAAAGCTGCCATCATCAAAGCTGTGATGCCTCCGATATTTGCCAGATCCTTGTCGACACCGGCCTCCAACAGCAAACATACGATCTCGTCATAACCGCAGCAAGATGCAGTCATCAAAGCAGTCCTGCCATCGAAGTTCACATGATCTTTATCAGCGCCGGCCTCCAGTAGTAATCGTGCCATTTCGACATTACCGCGCTTAGATGCCACCATCAGAGCTGTGCGGCCATCGCAGTCTGCGACCTCTTTGTCGGCCCGGGCCTCCAGCAGCGCCCGTACCACCTCCACATGGCCATGATCGCATGCCATCAACAAAGCTGTGGAGCCGCGGCTGGTGACTAGATCCTTGCTGGCGCCGGCCTCCAGCAGCAAGTGCAAAACCTCGACACAGCCATGTTGAGAGGCTGTGTCCAGGGCTCTGCGGCCGTAGGAATTCGGCAAGTCTGGGTCTTGCGGCAGCTGCAGCATGAGCTCAACCTCACAGGGTTTCTATCCAGAAGAGTTGCACGCAGGCGAGACAGAAAAAGAGACCGAGGCCGAGAGGAGAAAGCAAGAGAGAGAGACAGAGAGACAGAGAAACCGCGATGAGGGAAAGGCAGAGAGCGAGAGAGAGAAGAAAATACTCAAATGCGGAGGCAAACGAACGATGACGCAGCCCTTTGGACGGTAGCCCTCGTATGCGTTCGCATGGCCAAGCCGCGTCAGGGTATAAGGCTCGCGCGTAATTAGGGTTTAAGGCTCCCTACTTGTTGATGTGAAAGTCGGTCTAGTGTGTCAGAACCAGCCACCTCTTCCATAGAGTCATCCCGAACATTGGTCAGTAGATCGTTCACCTGCGCGTCGGAAACATCGGCAAATGGCAACAGGACGAGATCAAGGTTCATGGAGGAATCCAGCTCAGCTGTATCATCCATGTTCTCGCCGTGGCGAAGGAGCCTCTGTCTAAACCGCGTGGGCAAGCCGTGTAGATGCGTCAGTTGCTGCTTCAAGGACCTCACGTTGCTCAGCTCCCCCACCGGCACGCTGGCCACCTCCGACCCAGAGAGCATCCGGATGCGCAACATCGCAGGAATGTCTCGGAACCCGGCATGCTACACGGTAGTTGCACATGAGTCATGGGTGGCTAGAAGGCAATCTTACATAAATACGCTTGTGACTATAAGTAGCTATGTTTGTACTATTGCTATGCACCTCCATGGCTCTGGGAAGGATGAGTCGCAAACATGTCGGCAGGCCGTTACCTGCACAGTTCCTACGAACTCCACTGAACAGTCTAATATGGGGGCCTTAATAATTAGAATAGGGTTTTTGGGCCCATTGTACTACATTTATAAGAAGGAGCCCCAAAATGATATTTGTATTTATCTAGGCCCCTATATTACTGCTGGACAGACTGGGGCTGTCAGGCTTCAGTGAATTCGCTCTCTGGGCCCACAAGGTTCAGGGCTTAGAGAGAGTTTTTTTGGACTAGGGGATAGGAGTTTAAGGGGGTCATTGTACCAGCCAGAGGAAGCCGAAGATGAAATCAAACAGGAATACACGTCGAGCTATAGATTCGGTAGATGCAAAATCCGTCTCCTTGCTGCTGCCTAAACCCGCCTAATCCTGAACCCTAAACCCCATACCGCCGCCTACCAGATGCATAAACCTAGTGCCCAGAAATCGCACCAAAGCGACACGGACCCTCGCGAAGCGTGCTATCGGACTGATGCTCCCCGATGCAGGAGAACCAGCTGCAAAAAATGTCAACACCGAAACTCCCAGTTCGCGAAGCATCCTCTAGCACTTCTAGGTTGAGAAGCGCAGTAGAATGAGCAGAAGGCTTGCTTTACAATGCTTGTCGCTGGCAGCTGGAAAAACTCTGAGATGCGGCAACTTGCTTTATGTCTTGGATCCTAAGACCTCATGATGAGGACTTCGGGCTCGAAGCGTGCATGTTTAGGGTTTAGGGTTTAGGGTTAAGAGCAGAAGTGTGTATGTTTAGGGTTTAGGGTTAAGGGTTAGGAGCAGAAGGGTGTATGTTTAGGGTTTAGGGTTTAGGGTTAAGAGCAAGCTTGAGGGTTGAATTTATCAGCACTGCGGTTTGGTCTTTGTAAACCCCAAACCTGCCTTTAAGCTACCAGAACATGCGCTTATTGCTCGGTCTGAATCCAGTAATGTCGGCTCATTAATAATTGGAATAGGGTTTTGGGCTCCTTCATAGTATAATTATAATAAGGAACCTAAGGCAGTTGCGCAGGTCCCTCCCAATCTTGCATGCCCCCGGCCCCCGACAGAAAGGCAGGTTGTGGTCGGTTGCCATCAAGTTTAGGGTTGGGCAGTCTGGAAGCCAAAAGCTCGAGTTGCAAATGCACCTACAAGCTTTGGTGATGTAGGGGCCCTGTAATAATTAGAATAAGTTTTTTTTTGGGGGGGTATATCATGCTATAACTATAACCCTAAACCCTAAACCCTAAACCCTAAACCCTAAACCCTAAACCCTAGACCCTAAACCCTAAACCCTAAACCCTAAACCCTAAAGGAATCCCCAAAATAGTATCGGTAACTGTTTATGCCCCTATATCACCGCAGGGCTGGCTCAGGTTCCGGGCTTTGGAGATCGGCTTTGCCCGAGCGCATCGAAATAATTCAGATTTCCGGGATGTCTAAGATGTAGGAACGGTTAGGGTTTAGGGTTGAGGGTTTAGGGTTTGGGTTTAGGGTTTAGGGTTTAGGAATTTAGGAGTTTCAGAAAATTTTGGACCATGATTTGTAGAACCCTACTTCTTACGAGCCGATCTACGAGATCCCAAACAAAGTATCCCTCTTGAAATCCGCCCCTTGTAGTGAGCCTCCGCTCGGTTCGCCGCAAGCTGAGCCTTCGCGTCCTGCACCGCCGCCTTGCAGCAGAGCTCAGTTTCTGGTGTCTTGTGGAATCAAGCCTGAAACCTACAGACTTCATGACTGAAACTTACAGACTTAGTGAGTAAGGCTATACAGCTAGTTGGGATTTTAAATACGGAAAAAAGCGAAGCCTAGACGCCCTCATGTATATATACATATATATATATAACCCTGGTTACTGAGTCCCATGATCCGTTAAGTAGGGCCCCACAAAGATCGTCGACCTCGACCGGCAGTCCGACTCAGCGAAGTC